TATAATTAGTTTTTTGTCACTTGTATATTAATAAAATATTAAAATATAAGATTAAAATCATAAGTCTCATAACAAAGATGATATGCAATGCAAAATTCTAAAATGAATACATGAAAAAATGGTTCACTAGCTAATTGAAATAATATGGAATATTGAAGATATCCCTGCAGACTGAAATATAGTACTAATAGGTGTCGAGTCTTTATGTCGGCGAGACTTCTAATAAGTCCTCGTTATAAATAAATCGTAGAGAGGAAATAATAATATTTTGCAAGGAATACAATAATCATTACCTTACATAAATAAATGGTGTTAGTAACATAACAATAATAATAAGTAATTAGACAATTATGGTGTATAGCCGACTCACGACAACCGTATGTGTGATGACGTGGTACTGGCTTCAAAGTGGTTGATGAGATGTGGTATAAGACGAAAAACCTTCCACGAATTGGTGATGACGACGAGGATAAAAGTGATGACATACAACTGGCTTAAGTATGCAATAATATAAACTTCACTCATATGCGTAAAAGGCGAGACCACAAGACTTGCATACATAAATGTCGCTCATGTGCGTAGAAGGCGCGAGCACAAGGCTTGTATTACAAAATGAGGTGTCAATACTCTGTCGTTGTATTTAGAAATATAAATATATATATTAAGTCTACGACGGATCTATCCCATGTGTTGAGAACGTCACGACGATATGCTACAATGTGGTTGTCCATGCGACGATTGGCGGCCGTTGCGACCTTCACAGTTATGATATACGTTTGTTACGTTAGGGGAGAGTTGCCTAGGTTGGACCACTTTGAACATTTAGGAGTATTACAGATAATAATTTAAAATAATAAGTATTTAACTGCACTAAGGTTGTAGCTAAACATGTAAACAACAGTTTGGTATAGTTAGTTTTTTTTTTTAAAGGTTTTAATGGTAATATTTTTTTATTTTTAAAAAATTTACCAAGTGGTCCATCTTAGGCAACCGGTTGCTTAATTTGGACCGCCTATATCTTTAATTGGACCTCTTGGATAAATTTTAAAATAAAACACATTTTTAGAATAATAAAATAATTGTATTTAAAAGTTATCAGTCAATACCTTACTGACTAGTTTTTTATAAAATAAACAACATTTTTATACCTTCTTGGTTAAATTTTAAAATAAACAACATACATAATAAAAAACATAGAATAATAAAATAATACAATTTATAAGTTATCAGTCAATACATATACTACGTAGTCTTTGGCACTGATTGAGCCCATAAATTTTGTTTTTATATGCCCTTACAGCATGTTGTAGGTCTTCTTCTGACCACTGTCCATACTTTCCACGTTTAGCCATGTCTGTAAAAATATATGAACTATTTTAGTGGTCCATTTTTGGAAACTATTGGTGGATCAATATAAGCAACTTTGTTTTTTTTTAGAAAAATTGATGAATAAATTTCAATATTAATATAAGTGTAAATTATTTTAAACGATTTGTTTCTTTACAAATTTGTCTATAACACCGTTAATAAATAAAGTATAGTTTACTTACCTATTTTACAGTAAAACCTTATTGATTATTTAAAAAAAATAGCATGAAAATGACTGTTTTTGAATTAAGTGATATAATACTGATAACGATGGTTGATAACAATATGTGATAACTCCAAAGACGTTTTAAAACGGTTTTAAACAAATTAATAAATGTTACAATCATTAGTTATGTTTAACAGCTGATGAATTGAGGTGGTCCAATTTAGGCACCGGTCCAATATTGGCGACTTTACCCTATGTAACGCCGTCGTGCATATGGCTCTACGCAAAATACTACCCAATTGAAGGTTAGGTTGCTTTCAATTATTTTAGTCTTTCTCTTTTGATGTTGAACATCTCCACATGGTTCCAAGCGTGGTATAGTTAAGGTTATTACTTATTTTGGTTTTACTGATCTTGGAAGGTGAAACTTTCGACTTCGCTGTAACAAAGTGTATAAGTATCCGTCTATCCTGGTGAATAGTGCGCAAATACACCACGGGTCCATAACCTTTTTCCGATGCGTCAGAAAACCCAATGAACTGTACACTACGAAGTTCTTCGGTAGGAATGTGACCGCAAATCTTTATACTCGGGACCATAGGAAGTATTTGAAGCAATTTTGAGATTTCTTCTTGTAAGTTAAGTAACTCTTCTACACTCTTACGACCGGTCAGGATATCATCTACATATGTTTGTGACGACTACACACCAACGTTTGACGGGTGCAGATGTTTTATTCTAATTCATGCAACACTCGAATCGCTTGAAACGGAGACGGCGTAAGCCCATATTTAATCGTCGTAAGTTCATATTCACGGAGGGGTTCTAGTGGTGTTGCACACCACAATATATTGACAGTACTTATTCATTATTAGTTTTGATTTGACGGTACATTTTACAAATGTCCGCCTTGAATATATACTGGTTGAAACGAGAACGGTGTAACAAATCAGTTATATCTGTCTGTAGTTTCAGGTCAACATGTAGCAGATCGTTCAACGATTTTCCCGAAGATGACTTAGCAGAACCATCGAATATAACTCGAAGTTCCAGTTTTTGTCCATGTCGTTTTACCACCGCATGGTGGTGAACATAATATTTCCCTGGTGTTGTAGCGATTTTCATGTGACCAACTTTTTAGTATTCGAGCATAAATAGGCGATATTGATCATATACCAGAGGGTGTTTCAATAATTTACATTCCAAATTATAGAACCGCGATATCACCATGTCAAGAGGGCTACTAAGACAAGATGGATCGATACAAAATTATAGTGCTAATGAAAACCTACCCGTACTATCTCAAGTTGTTGTACGAAGAAAATGGTCTTCACACTGTTGGTCGATAGTGAACGAATTATGTGTTAGTACGGGTTATTCGATGGTCCAAAACTATTGAAATAAATTATCCATCAAAGGCTCTGGGGTCAAAAATAAAGAAACCTATGGTGTGCGTGACTCCGCACAAGATTGACCTACTATTATCCACCCTAAACGTGTTTCGAATGCGGATGGGCAATTTGGCGTATGTAATACCTTACAACAGGGGTCTCCAATCTACGGCCCGCGGGCCGGATACGGCCCTCGAACAAGTTTTAACCGGCCCGTGGCATAGGTAAATATAGATAAAAAAATTATTTAAAAAATGTATTTATATTATATTATATTTATACCTATTTATTTTTATTTAAGTATATTGTAAAGTAAACAATATTCTATACAAAAATATAAAGTAAACATTATTTATATAGGTAATAGGTACCTATATTATCATAAAGTTAAAAATTATATGTGTTAATAAACTTTTGACCCACTAAGAGCATTTGATTTTTTTTGTGGCCCTTGAATAAAAAAGTTTGGAGACCCCTGCCTTACAAGATTGTCCTAGTATGTTCGGGTAAATGTCTGAGCCGAGCAAGAACTCGATCTGACCTGACACGCCGAAGTGAAGATCTACGAGCTTTATATGTGAATATGTGGTACGAATTGTGTTAGATAATTCACGACGATATGCGACAATGTGACTGTCCGTGCGATGACTGGAGGGCGTTGCGACCTTCACAGTTACGATATACGTTTGTTACGTTATGTAACGCCGTCATGCATATGATTCTACGCATCATACTCCCCCAATTGAAAGGTTAGGTTGCTTTCAATTATTTTAGTCTTCCCCTTTTGATGTTGAACTTCTTCTTTTTTATTATTTTCGGTAATTACCGAGTTATAGTATTTTCAGTAATTACCGGGGTATGGTATCTTGGTAATAACGGTAATTACCAAATCACGGTATACCGGTATACTGAAATACCGAAAATACCGGATACCGGTATTTTTGAAATACCGGTAATTATCGGTATACTGAAAATACAGCCAGCCCTAACTGAAACCTTGATGATTTTTGAAGTTCTGGTTCCTGTTCAGTTCCCAGTAAAACTAAAATTTCGGTTTTGGTTCAAGTTCGGTTAACAGAAAAACTAAAATTTAGGTTTCGGTTTCTTTTCGGTTCTTCAAAAATAAAAAAATTTGTTACCCGATTTGGTTTTATACTTATGTAAAACAATTTGTAAAATAAAAGTTTCGGTTCTGTTAAGGTTCCGGTTTTTAAATTAATTTAAATAATTGTTCCGGCGAGGTTCTGGTATTAAAATAAATTTAAATAATGGTTTCGGTGAGGTTTCAGTTCCTGATATACATACAGGCATACAGCATAATATACTAGTAGGTCTATAGTTTACCCGTACAGATATTGTATTAATTTCGTATGTCTTCAAATATTTACGATATTATATGAAATTAATTTTCTAACTTTAACACTGTCCAAATGTTGAATCTCAGTTCACCTGAGAGGTCCATCTTTTGTATTGAGTTATAGAAATCCACCTCTGAAGCCTGATTCATAGACTTTATAGTTTGAGTACCTCTATCAAACTTAGAATCCTCCTCAATCATTAACTTAAGTACCCTTGTTCACGGTCTCACGGACACTTCGTTTTAGATTAGTAATTTCCTTATAACCAAATGAATTTCATTATTCTTTCAATTGCATATGATATTGAAATTTTGGTAACATTTTAATAATTATACTAATCATTTTTAAAAAATTACATTATTAATATTATAAAAGTACATCAAAAGTAATAAGGAGGTATTGTAGTTAATGATAATTGACAGAAATCATAAAAACTGATATTATTGTATATGATATTCAAAATTGTATTTAAACATTATTGAAAATTAACTTTAACAAGTAACATTGCTTACAACTTATTAACACTCTGAATATAGTTAATAAAGTTTCTTATTATAAGTTATTTTGTTAAGATTGCTTAATATTAATTTACTGTACCTATCGCCTATTATTGATTAACACATTTTTCAAAATAAATATAATTTATAAAAATGATACGAAACACCGATACTATATTACAGGTAAGTAGTAAGCACATATATTTTTGGAGTTGTATTTTCACCTGTTGTATCCATATTGTCCTAGTTCTAAATTAAAAAAAAAATTATTATTAATTTTCATTCATTAAAAAAATATGCATATAAATTTAATTATTTTTACTTTTATGCTCGTCAACTTAAATAAAACTTAACAATGAACAATAGTTAATAATGTTTGGTACTTAAGAATTTTGACGTTATAAAAAGTTATGAAAGTTGTATAAATTATATTACATATGTACCTATTATACTGTATAAGTTATATTTTACCTTTAAGATACTGTTCTTTACTCAAGAATTGTTGTGCCCAAGTTATAGGATCAAATTCCAAATTACCATCAAAATATGTTGGCAAAATATTAGGAGCAATGTACTTGTGTAAAGAATTGAAATTACTTCCGTGAAAATGAACCTTTAAAAAAAAACTTTTAATGTTACACCAAAAAAATTACAACGATGGAAAAACTAACCCGACATCGCAATTTTTCTTTCAAAAACGGTTTCATGATTGAATATACGGTGTATAAGTATAATGGTTCGTTGATAAAATGAAAGCCTTGAAATCTTAATGGAAAACTCTCCTTAAAATATTAATAAATGCTATTATTAATGAATATTATGTGAATAATATAATAATAATTAAACTTTATCAAGATTATACATAGGTACCTAACACATATAGGTAATAATAAACCTATTTTTACAATTATTATGTTGTACATATTATCACAAAATATAAAAAATAAGCTTCCAGAAATGTATCATAGTATTTATTTTAAACCTTATAATCAGTTATTTGAATTTCAACACTTTAAAGGCAAAAGTGCAATATTATTGGAGAAATTCGAATAACAATAATAATATCTGAGTACTTAATATTTATTTCTAAGATATACACAAGATCACATACATTTTCTCACTATTATAATACGTAAGATTTCTGGAACCGAATACATACATACTTACATATAGGTACATACTGAATAATAAAGAATTTATTTTAAATCGAATCTTTACATTGACAACTAAAATTTAAGTGTATAACCTAATTAAGGGGATTAGAAGCGGCGATTTTCTGTCTTTGTCTAACACACGTGCAACATAGGGTTATAGAAGTGTTCTATTCCCAACGTACCGATTAATCTAGTGAAGATATAAGAATTATGAAAACAGATTTGAATTTGTCATCAAGTCTTCTTGAGATCTATTTTCCCATATTTTTGATTTTTTGATTTAAACTTCTCTAAAAATTGAAATATATCAATTTTTTAATTATTCTTTTTAATATATCGTTTTTATAATTTTGGGTGGCTAATATCAAAAATGTGGAAAAGTCGATTCCAAGTAGACTTGACGACAAATTCAAATCCGTTTTCAGAATTCTTATCGCTTCACTATATTAATCGGTACGTTGGAAATAGAACAAGCTTAAACATTTAGACATATGAACAATATTTATAAACTTATTATATTCCTGGGAAATTCCTGGTCTTGGGTATATAACTGGGAATTTTTTTTAATTTATTTTATCTCTATGTTCTTAAACTGTTATGAGATGAAAATTTGGTATTTCTTACTTGCACAACTTCAGCAGACTTCTTAGCGTAGTAAGGTGATAAATATTGATAGTGTTTCAACCACTTAAATCCTGTAAAATCAGCGATTGCAATCATACCAGCAAGTTGAGTGTCTGGGTGTTCAGATATAACTTCCAAAATCATCAAGTTTATCTTAAAAACATCTTCTATGCTAATTCCAGGTAAAACCTTGTCTAAATGATAAAACTGTTTTAGTATACTCACTGTATTATATTTAATCATAAGTAGTAATTTATAGTGTGCACATGAATAATATACAATTAATAATTATCAATAGGGCTGGAATTATATGCATTACAATTTACGAAATATGTATGAATTTATACACTTATCATTCAAATATGAAAATAATATTCATGTTTATTAAATTTAAATAATTAAGTTTAAAAAGGTATTAAATAATGGAACTGTATGTTATAACTTATACCAATGATGTTTGGTTGTAATAATAATTAATATCATGAAGTGGCGTATCTATAAGATGATATGTTTGGGAGAAGAGTTGGGAACAATTTTATCTAGATAATTATTCGAATCATTTTTTTAGAGTTATTCGAATCATTTTCAAGCATAATAACATAAATCCTAGTAAAAAATATGTTATTATAGAATGATTATAATTCTTCTAATATGTACCTATACATGTAGTTAGTATGTAGGTACCTAAGTAGTAACTATTTATCAATATTGAAGACGTTATCCTAACCTAAAACTCAACAAGCTATCAGATGATATGATTGAAGACAGGTTTATTTTGAAATCTAATTTTAAAATGGAGTTATAACTAATAAGTACATTGTTATTTGTTAATAATTGTATTATAATCAGTGATTAAAAATACCGTATTTTATTTTTCAATTGTATAGTACGTGTATTATACATGTATTATACAGTATTTTACAAAAATCTTATGAAGTTTAGATAATTGTTAAATATATAGCTACCAGATTGTAATAAGAATGTAAGATTAATAATATTTCAGTTTATTCTTGAATGATGAAGCATTTTTATTATTAAATTATGTAATGGCAGTTTGGTAACTACCTATACCTAATAGAAAATATATGAAAATGTATTGGTCTTAAGTTATGAATATTAGATTTTAATATTGGCAGTAATTTTAATTAGTACCTATGTAATTATTTAATTAGTAAGTGTTTACTTTTTTAATCAGTTTTTGGATATATTAATAAATGATTTGCCAAACGAAAGGCATTATAGGCATAAGCCTCTTTACAAAATAAACATTTTCGTTTTTAAATATTTCCAACATAATACTTGGTAAAATATTTGTCAACAATAGCTTTTTGCTTTGAAGGTCAACCTATAGTAAAAAGAAATAGTAACTAAAGTTTAATAACTTCAATTAATTGTGCCAGTGGCGGTTTAAGCGTATGGGCAGGGTGGGCAGCTGCTCATACCAAAATGTATGGGGACTCTTATAGGGGAAGAGGGAGGAAATGAGGAATATTATTCGCAGTTAGAACCTAATTATAAATCTACTGTTGCCCATACGAAAATGTAGTCCTAGAACCGCTCCTCCTTTTAGCCTGTAGGTAGTTAAATAGAATTATTAGAATTTAGTAGAATATTATGCAACGGGATAGTGTCCACGATTATGACTTATCAGTTATGACTTATCAGTTATCAGTAAGATATCAGACTACTATTTACGAACGATTTACAAATGTTTACGACTAGATTCAAAGAACATAGGTTAATAGAGCTATAACTAGAATAGTTCTTTGGTGTTGATCTTTATAATGTCTTTCCTATGATCGTGATTACCACCTACCAATAACCATGTTACTTCTGTGGCTGTGCTCCGCCGAAGTATTACTGCGTAACGTCGAAACATTATATGTATTGCATACATTTTTTCTTTATTATTGATCTATTATTTATCATAGATTTTTTTTTATACCAATTGTATTTTATTTTTTATACATAACATATAATACAATATCATACAATTTATAATTTATATCACTGATTATAATTATAATTATATTATTAGAATTATTTATTGAAATTCAAAATGTGTTATAATTATTTATTTTCATTATTGCTACAATTATTTATTTATAATTTTTGTTATTATTATTTACTACTATATTTATGATTGTTGTAATCGAAACGAAATATTGTCATTAAATATTAAAATTATAATATTAAAATATGATAAAAAATATTTATTTCCTTACTTTCTTCTATAGATCTATATTTGTTTTATTTATATTTTTTTTCCATTTTTCCAAATAAAATAAGATTTACAATCGTGTAACTTAAAATACATTACCAACTATTGTTTATAATACTATGTGCCTGTTTTAAATTACCAACTATATGTTTACCCAAATAAAATAAACGAAAAATATTATTCGAACAGTGATCAAAAATAGCTTACACGGCATTGCTTTGCTATTGCTAGGTTTTTGTTATTGTTCAACTCCTTTTGAGTGGAACACGCTACGGAAGCAATGTCTTTTTAAGGGTAAATTATATTATATTTTAATTTATATCCATAGGCGGACATCGGGGGGGGGGGGCTTAGGGGGGGCTTAGCCCCCTAAATATGTTAATAGCCCCTAAAAATCGAAACTTAATTTGAAATGTCAAATTATATTGTTTTCATAATTATGCTATCGTTTTGTTATGCATTATTATTAGTTTAATATATCTATCACATAAAACTAGTTTTGAAAATGTGTGGAGAAATGGCCTTTTTGAAATGACCGATTCAATTTACCATGCGGTCACGAGCATATTCGATAGACGACGTGTTATCTCTTCTCATCGATATGTCGAGCGTCGGCTCGAGGGATCACGACCGTTGTCGTTGTGACGTTATTTTAATATAGAAGATGTTATAAGAGTTTTGTCAGAAAACAAAACCATATTCCCTAATTTGCAAAAACTATTTACCATAGCATTAACAATACCTATGAGTTCGGCTACTTGTGAAAGAAGTTTCAGTGCAATGAGAAAAATAAAAACTTGGCTAAGGACATCCATGCTTCAGGATAGGTTCAGCGATCTTTCTATTCTAAATATTGAAAAAGATATGTCCAAAAATATAAATAGCAATGATATTTTGAATATATTTGCTGATAAAAATAGGTATATGTTATTAAAATAAAATAAAATATTAACTATTAAGTGTTCTTTATTTTTATTATAACTTAAACATATTCATATTTGTATTAGTAATATATTACACTTGTGCATGGGAAGGGGGTGCGGGGGCGAAGCCCCTTCGGGTCACTTTACATTGGATTATTATAGCCCCCCTAAAAATTCAACCAAATGTCCGCCTATGTTTATATCCATTTTGACCGGCGTTGTCCGCGTTCTGTGGGCAGTATATTATTATCAGGTACCTATAGGCAATATAGGTACCTGTGATAGATCGCGGACCCCGCGTGATGAGTAAGTAAGTGTATAATTTAAGTCTAAAGCATCAAAAAATGCAAAAAAATTGGTCCACCGAAACCATGGTTCGAACTCTATACATTCTATACTAAAATACACAGGTTTATCGCATTAAAAACAAATATTATTACTATTAAAACCAATAGCAACCAATTATAAACAATAATTTACATCGTAAACCTCAAAATCTCTGTTTGTGAACCACCCCTGGTTTAACCTCTCGTGACAAAATGTATAGCTCATCTTCTTCCCCAAGGTCTAATCCACCTCTACACAAAATTTCATCACAAACGGATGAACAGTTTAAGTAGAAACAAACATTTTTTGTTTTTTATACATTATATATTATTATATATATATACCTACCCATTCTAAAAACATAAATTTCACGCCCGTGCTGATCTCTGTGTGGTAACATAAAAACTGTCCCGCTCTCCAAAAAAACTTTGTTCTTGGATGGAAAAGTCAAATTGAATAATTTTGGATTTTTTTCTTTAGCTTCAAAATAGTTTTGTATCTATTTTTTTTATAAAAAAAAGTAAAATTTCTTATAAAAACAGCAATTTATTTGCATTCTAATATTTTCACAAACAAAATGATTGCTTTTTGTATTTAATAATTTAGTTAAAAATCCAAGTTTTTGTCATACGATAATTAGTTGTATTTAAATTATGCAATGGTTTACAAATGATCATAAAATTAATTTCAAAAAATATCATTTATGGTCATTATTCGCTTACACATTTTGAATTAATTGATAGTGAAAACTGTCTAAGGAGGACCTTGAATAAAACGGAAAACCATCAATCCCAGAATACTTCTTTGGTCGTATTTATATTATAGTTGTATACTTGTATGTGCACGTTGAAACGGACAATTTTTTTTATGTCCAGTGTAAGTAAAAACTTTCCATAGACCGGAAACATAACGTAGCGTATCTATGTAACAAAAAACTAAAGCAACGTATGTCGGTGAAGTAGAAATGGAGGGGAGAGGGGATGGGTGGGAGTGCCACCAGAAATGTTTATTATGTTTTATGAATATTGAATAAAACAATTTAGAATCGAATTGAATAGTCCGGAATTCTTCGATCTTATTCAATACCTAAATCCTAAAACTGCTTAAAGCGAAATATTAGGTTGGTCCCATGAGATTCCACCTCAGACAGTTTTCACTGTATAATAAAACCATATAATAAAACTAATATACGTAACATACCTACTGGCATATCGTTAAAACTATTAATTAACAAACAACAATAATATTATGAATAATAGGTAAATTAATATAATATACTAATTGATCCCGTGCACTTTGTTGCCCGTTAAAATGTACCAACTCTAGGTATATGACTCAAACTTTGTTCAATTCGTTATTTCATATTCGGTGTATGGTATTCAAAATTTATCTTAACTCTTCTGTTGCTTGGGATAAAAATTCTGATTGGCAGCAGTATATTATCAGGTAGGCAATGTACCTGCGGTAGATCGCTGACCCCGTGCTGTTTGTACGTAAGTTTATGATTTAACTCTAGAGCCGTTCTCGAGTTTTACCGAGACTAACGAACATTATCAATAAAGTATTCATTTTTATATAGATAAAGAAGAAGAAGATAGAAGATAATAATAATTTATATAATTTATAGCTATTTATATAATATTATAATATCTATTATCAAAGAATCATAATACGTAAATAGTTGTGTTTTTCACATATTTAAGACATATTATATAACGACTACGATGTAAATAATATTAGTTTTATGAAAAAATGTTATTTTAATATTTTTCAGTATGAATTATGAATTTTAGAATGTTATAAATATTAAAGTCAATGACTTACCAATTTAAATGCTTTGTTAACTTGAAATTTTCTAGCTCTTAAAAATTTAAGCATAAATGCATCATCCATTCTTGATTTCAAAAAAATATCACCTTTAAAAATAGAAAGATTATTTTAGCAATAATAAAATATCCATATATTATTTTGTTCATGTACACATTTCACTATTTGTATAAGTAGCAAATAGTATCTAATATATGTAATATATGTACCTACTTAAATACTTTCAAGAAAAATTATATAATATTGTTATTATTTTTTTTTTTTAGAATCTAATGGAAGGTAAAACATGTCGGTACGTTTATTGTATTTAATAAATACTACAACATAGGTACATAAACATAAACACCTAACTATATATAGGTACCTGAGTACCTGACTATATACCTAAGTTTGTTAGTCACATATTTAATAGATGCAATATCACATATATTTTATATTTTCTAAATCCGTTCTTAAGGACTAGTCCCGAGTAACAATTTTGGTGCACATTGGGTGCCCTACATCAATTTTTAGGTTTTTGTTACCGTGCTATAACGGTGCACAGCACTGTGTTTTTGATCAAAATTAATACCGATTTTTTACATGGGAAGCACCGTGCCGATAGAACTCAATAGTCGGTTCAGGAACCGTTTTAGCGTGCAACTAAAATTATAGTTCATTTGTCAGACTAGAGTCGGTGTTCTAACCGTGCGAGAGTGAACAAAGGTACAGTGCCGTAACCGTGTAGGAGTGTTGAAAAATACCGTGCACATACCGTGACAAAAATAAATAAAAAACGTAAAACAAGCAAATTTTTTTTTGCGAGATGTCGAATTCGAACCAGGAACCCCTAAACAACCTATGCGTTGGTAATCCTAATTCCTACCTACCGGGCCACTATCTTAGATATGTTTGTGTGGCGATTCTATAGTATTTAAATCTTTTTGATCATTGTTATTTAAATAACATTAAACAGTTTATATTATAAAATGTTACATTTAAGTATATTTAAATTTCTTAAAACTCAAATATATCCATATTTAAAAAAAAAAATAAAAAACTTGTATGTTATAAAAAAAATAGTTACATTATTAAAACAATATTAAAATTTTGATGTAGAACATTTTATAATATTATGTAAGAAAAAATGTAAGCATAAACATTCAACATGTTATTATAATTAATAAAAAGATGCTCTGCTGTACAGTAGGTTACAAGTGGGTCACTGTATAATGGATGATATTAAATTTGAATTCAACGATATATTATCATTGTATAAGAAAAACGATTCTGAGCGAAGGCGGTATGTCAGTATGTCAGGTATAAGACATATTATAAACATTTCTATGGTATTATAAAAAAAAATGACCTATAATAGGTACCTACCTATAATAAATTCCAAATTAATCATATCACTATATCCATTAGATACTTATAACGCGTTATACATCAACAAAAACCGTGATACTATCATAGATATATAATAGTACACTTTAGAAAATCAAGTACCCACGAATAATATAATTCAATCACAACAAAATAACTAAAATAGTTATTCAAGGTTTTTTAATATGTAATTTCGTCCAAATTTGAATTTAAAATGTCTGTAAAAAATAACTGTGTTCATATATTTTTTAGATTTTTTGGTTATAGTATGAACTATTTATGAGAACCTTTGTTTTAAATTTGCAATCCTTAGCTATAAAAACTGAACATTTTATAATTTATTAATTACAATGATTGATAATTTTCGAGATTTTGATAAATTTTGTCAAATTTCGATCTTTAAATGCTAATAAAAAAAAATTGTGGCTATGTATTTTTAATATTTTTCGATTGCTATTGTAACAATATATCAGGAGCCTTGTATTAAATTTTCACACTTTTTGGCCAAACAGATAAAACTTTATTGATATTTATAGAAAAAAAAACTAAAAAAATTGAAAACTGAAAATGTCCGTAAAAAGCTCAAAAACAGTCAAAATATTTTCAAAATTGTATGGTCTATAGGAAATGCTAATATAAATATTCAGTGAAATTTTCATGTATCTACAATAATTCGTTTTTGAATTACAACAAAATAAGGAAATCGCTACATGAAAAATCGAGTGAATATCCAATGTTGTAAAAATTTGAATTTAAAACGCTCATAAAAATTTAATTTGACTTTCTTATAGAAATTTTTTTTTTGATAAAGGTAGACAAACTTATGAGGAATCTTGTATTACATTTTAAAACCTTAGATTTAAAAAGAAAAATTTTTACGAATTCTTAACTCAAAATAATTTGCTAATTTTCGTGATTTTTCCATATTTTGTCAATTTTTGAACTTTAAATGCTTATAAAAAAAAACTGTGACTAACGATTTTTAATATTTTTCATCTGCCTTTGAAACAATATACTAGGAGCCTTCTATTAAATTTTCAAGTTATTTTAACCAACAAATAAAATTTTATTGATATTTCTAGAAAAAAAAATAAAAAAAAATGAAAAATGAAAATGTCCCTAAACAGTACAAAATAAATCAAAATATTTTGAAAATGTTATCGTGTATAGAAAATGCAAATATAAACAACCAGTGAAAATTTCATGTATCTACGGTCATTTGTTTTAAAGTTACACCAAAAACCAAATTCAATTTTCTGAAAACTCGATTTTGCGTAAAAATTCCCGTTTTTCCTTAATTTTTCTTTTGTTTTTCTTGGCGCTTTTGAAAAGTACTGGGAATTTTAAATTTTGACCTCCTCAATACACCAATGATATTCACTTTCCAATCGAACAAGATACTGAAGTCGAAAATCGAAGCATTATTTCAACTACTTATCGTGTACACAGACACAAAAAAAACAAAAAAAAAAACACACATCATTGTAAAATCAATACATTCATCGTTTCACTCAGAATCTAAAAGAACATATTATAATAAATTAGATAATATATTTAATTGTACATTTGTATTAAAACTTTTAATAAAAAAATAAGTACCTATATTATTATCACAATATTAAGATTTTAATAAAGAACATAATAATTATTAAATATTATTATAATTATTATAATTAATAAAAAAGAACATATTATTATAAATTGGATAATACCTATAGCTGTGATACCATTGTAGGTACCATAATATGTATTGTAACAATATTTATGGACACCGCTGTACGGTGACAACACGGTAATTTTGTCCACCGTCACACATTCGATGTACAGTGTTCGTTGTGCACCGTAGCATCATAATAGCATGTACGCAAAATAAGAATGGTTTCAAACAGACACCAATACACTTAAACTGCACCGTCAAGTTATGCATGGTTGTACCCTTGGTGCACTGTACATGGTTTGCACAGCTGCACCCAGTAGAAACGGTTTTTTTTTTAACCGTATTTAATATCCCTTGAGCACAGAATGTGCACCATAAACAATTTATCCTGCACGCTAGGACAGTGTGTGCACTGTGTTACATGCACGGTACACCAGAACCGACACTGAACCTTAAAATTGTTACTCGGGGTATCATACATAATATTAATAACTGAAAAACTACTTATTCAAATTTTGAATTAGGTACAACTACATTTTCAAAAAAATTATACTCTAAATAAATTACAGTAAAGAGAAGGTTGTCATTTGAAAAAAAAAACAGAAGTTTATACCTATCACCACATGACATTGATTAATTGATGTAAAAATCTGAAGAATTTTAAAATGTGTAATTTAATTAGGTATCTATGTTTAAAAATTCCAAAATCAGAATCTGAATAAATTTTATTATTAAAAGAAAAAAAATGTTTACCCCCATTCATGAATCACCCTACATATATATTATATTAGCATAGGTATCAATAATTATTAAGGGTTTTACATACCTTTAATTAATGTACGTAATTCATCAATAGCTAATCGTGGATCAGATGGTTCATTGATTTCTTTTTGTAATTTAAATTTCCAATCGGATGAATCGATTTGAAATTGTGACATTTTATAATAAAAGTAAGTAGATATCGGAATTGTATGAATCTTCGTTAAGTTATAAAGTATAGTAAAAATTGGAGTAAAAGAATGAAATATACAATGTTAGATATAAACTGATCATCACATAAAATTTACAAATATACATTTTGCAAAAAAAAAAAAACATATCACCGGAAATTGATAACTATCTAAACAATATTATACTATACCTATGTTTTATATTATATCATATGCATCCGGTAGATACCAATTAAAATAAATACATGATTATTATATATTTTAACTATAGCTATTTTTTGAAGCATGACGGTTAAAAAAATCCCTAACCAGACTATAACAGTTATTATCGTAAACGTATAGAAATATACTGCTATACAATCTATTATTATTAATAAGTACACTAAAAATGTCAACATAAAGAATATTAAGGTCATATTACAACATAAATATGATTAAAGCAAACAATCAATATAAATATTGCTAGTAAAGTTATCGAAAATCTAGTCGTTTCACCTCAACTATGTGAAAATTTAAATATATATCAGACAATAATAATATAGAATATATTATATTGGGTATAAGTTATAACTAACAATACTGTGAAATTTTAAATTATTATAAAATAAAAAATAAATAATGTTGATTAACCTATACCTAATTCTATAAACATTAAATAATGATTTTCCTCAAATTATCTTTGTTATGTACCTAGTTGTGATTTAAAAAAGGCGGATACCACTCTCCTGTACAGTAGATAGGTTACAAGTGGGTCAATGTAATTCATGCTGCAGTTTAATTTGAATTAAATGACTTAATATCTCTGTACACAAAAAACGATTCTAAGTGAAGACGGTCTGTCAGTCGGCCTATAAAATAATAATATTTATTATTCTGCCAACTCGAAAACTTCAACAATTGTGATTTCAAAATAAAATAGTGGTCGAGGGTGGAACCAATCAGATTAGTTTATTATTTCAGAAGTGACATTTGCTTATAAAATAATATAAAAAAAAATATAATTTAAATTTGCAGTAAAAAATTATTCGTATATCATTGATTCCACCTTATACTGTGTTACGGAGCCGCCGTTGGCGAATCTCCGCCACGTAATAAATTAAATTCCGTTTGTTATTATGGTAATCATGTATGTTTATTATTTTATTATCTATATTACATACTCATACATTAACTGGGACAACGATTCACGTCCTTTATCCCACGTTGAATGGACGATGGGATCGTGATCACTTTAACATTGTGAGGGAATGGTTTCCCTAAGTGATATTTACAATAAATCGGGTAGGTACGGATGGTCACGTCCGGCCCGCTCAGACTAGTGGCGTCGGCTCGTGGATCCGTACGGGGAAGCGTGGCCTAAGCAGGCGCGCTCGGGGGGATTGATCTATTAGGGTAGTCCTGACAAGGATTATTTTGGTCTCCCGCGTCTTTCGTGGAGCTGGGATTGTTTGGCCTATCCAGGCGCTTTGTCCGCTCTCGCTGATCTCGTCGTCTCCTTGGCCGCAGGCTGTGTGAGTTATTTCGTGTCCGTGTTTATCTGTATGTGCCGGTGTTGACAGTGGTCGTTCGGCGGGTTGGTAATCTTCGGCGGTTGGCTGGTAATCTTGGCTTCGGCTTGTGCTATTCGTCGGCTGGCAGACAATCTTCGTTGGCGGTTAGTCAGGTTTTCTTTTATTCCAATATCAACAATTAGTTTGTGTGCTAATGTTGACGTTTTGGAAGTTTGGAGAAAGACTGGTTAACGATCATTTCATTGCATTGCATTAAAAGGGATGGCAATGCCGTTAACTATTCCAGGCTTATGCCTCTACTAGTGGATGGAAATTAAAAAGAAATGGTTAGATATTTATTGGTCTGCCCAAGAGAGTGGGTAGGGTTTCAATTTACGTTTAGTATTTGGGGGAGGGTGTGTTTTACCTAGAAGTCGGATGTGAGCATGATTCGAGAAAGAATTTTTGTAGAACATTGATTTGGTTTGGGAACGAATGGAGTTTTGAATAGATTTGAAATTTGTCGATTTTAGAAGGACCGAATTTCTAACGATAGTGGGCATACGCGTTATAGTGCGTATGCCGATGTTTTGGACGGATTCGATGCGGTTCCATTGAGAGGGTATTATAAAGGGTGCCCAAGAAGAGCCAGCGTACGTTAGGATAGGTGAGACGTAAAGTTTAAGTATGTTAAGTTTCGTTGTCGTTGGGACGGGGCTAGTGCGGTTTAGTATGGGGTAAAGCATACCTCGGATGCGGGTAGCCTTTTTGGTGATGTTTTGTATATGTTTGCCGAAAGTGAGTTTGCGCCCGATGGTGACGCCGAGGTATTTTGCTTTGCCGGACCAGTTAATGGAGTGGTTGTCGAGTAGTAGTGGTGGTACGTGGGTGGTATTTGAGTGTCCGGAAAATGATACCTACAGTTTTGGTCGCGTTTATTTTGATTCGCCATCGGTGAAACCATGTGGTTGCAAGGTTAAGTTGTTGTTGTAACTGTATGGCTGCTCGTTTTTGGTTGTGGTTGTAAGTAAAGAACATCGTGTCGTCGGCGAATAACGAGAGATGAGCTTTTGAAGTCGTCGGAATGTCGTTTATGTAGGTCAAGTAGAGAGTTGGTGATAGGCAGGATCCTTGAGGGACGCCTGCGAGAATGTGTCTGGTGGACGAGAAAGAGTCTTCGATTTTAGCGATAAAAGTGCGGTCGGTGAGAAAGGATTCGATGATTTTAATGATTTCGGTCGGGATGTTGAGTTGAGAAAGTTTGTATAGGAGTCCGGCGTGCCAGACTCTGTCGAAAGCTTTCTCCACATCAAGAAATATAGAAGCGGTGTTTATGTTGTTGTTAAAGTTCTGCCTGAGTTGGTGAGTGAGTTTGGTCAGTTGTTGGGTAGTAGAGTGTTCGGCTCTGAAGGCAAACTGTTCGGGGCGGATTTTGTCACGGAGTATGTTTTGTAGGTGAGTGAGTATGAGTCGTTCGTAGATTTTCGATAGGGAGGAAAGTAGAGCGATTGGGCGGTAGTTTACGGGTAGTTTGTGGTCTTTGCCTGGTTTGAGAATGGAAATTATGACTGCTTTTTTCCAGGCAAGTGGAAAGTAGCAGATTCTGAAGGAGCTGTTTATAATTGGCGTTAGGGATAGTAAGATATTGTTGGGGAGAAATTTAAGAGCCGTGTTGGTGATGAGATCATCGCCTGGGGCTTTCTTCTTGCGAAGGTCGCTTATGATTTTTTGAACGGTGCCGGGAGTGGTGAACAGGTTAGATTTTATAGTATTGAGGTTTTGTAGTGAATGGTAGTATGCGGTCACTTCTGTTATGTCGGGACCGGGGTTTGTTTGGAATTGTTGTTCAAGAGAGTCCGCTATCAGCTCGGCTCGGTCTTTGGCCGGAAAGATAAGGCCGTTTGGCCCGGTCAGAGGGTGAGAAGCTGGACGTTTATGAAGGAGGCATTTGTTGAGTTTGTAGATGGAGTTGTCTTGTTGGTCAAGAGAGTTTAGGAAGGTGTCCCATTGGTCAGTTTTGTGAGTTAAAAGTAAGGTTCGAATTAGTGCGATTTTGGCGTTCAGTTGGCGTTTAACGGTTGGGTCACGGTTTCTCTGCCACAGACGGCGTAGTTGGTTTTTTTCAGGAATTTCTATTTTTATGTAGTCGGGAAGTAAGAGGGACGAGTTTTTGCGTTTAGGAGTAAATACGCTAGCTTCGATAGCGTTTTGCAGGTTTTTGGTCAGACAATCGACTGCTAGGTCAATTGAATGTTTGTCATTTGTCGGTGGTATGGGAGAGTTAGGTAAGTTGGTAAGGATGGTTCTGTATTTTGTCCAGTTAATGAAGCGGTTAGTAGCAGGAGGAGACGATGAGATCGGAGTACATAGAGTCTCAAGAAGTATAGGGTTATGGTCGGAAGATAGTTCGTTGAGGTTTTCGATTTGGGTCGGGTATGGTAGACGTGTGAGGGCGATGTCGAGTACGTCGGGTCTGTGACGGGCGTAAGTGGGGAAATGTGTGGGGGAAGAGGGGGCAATGACGGAGTAGTCAGAAAGTTGGATGTGATCAAAGAGGACACGGCCGGCTGCGTTTGTCGAGTAGCTGTACCACAGTAGCATGTACCCAGTAGCAGGTGTTTGGCGTTGAAATCGCCTGCCGATATTTGCCATTCCGCGCTTTGGGTAAGTAAGTCTAAGTCAAGTGTCGAGAGAGTGGCGCCAGGTGGTTTGTATACCGCTGATACAAGTATACAGTATTCATGGTTGTTAAGTTTGATAAGGACTGAAGAGGTTCGAATGGTTGTGTTAAGAGTCATAGGTTGGTGGACGATGCGACGGTGAATGAGGACGGCCGTGCCGCCGTGAGGGGGCGAGCCCCGGATGGTCGGTAGGTCGTTCCTGTACGTGAAGTAATTTGGGATGTGAAGATTGGTGGAGGGAGATAGACGAGTTTCGTTAAGTAAGATTATGTCGGTTTTTAGTTGGAGTGCGAGAGCTGTTAGTTCATTAAGTTTGTGTATAATACCGTTGGAGTTCCAAAACAAGATTTTTAAATTATTCATTGGGAGGCGAGAGAATTGTCAGGAATGCTTTTATGGTCGTTTCTATCATTGTTTTGGGGTCCTGGTTGGTTGCCAGGGCAGTCAGTAGGTTGGTCAAGAGGTTTAGAATCAGGGACAGATCGATTTGTGGGGCTTGGGGAGTGGGGGAGGGGGGAGCTGCTCCGGCAGTTGCAGTAGCGTAGGACAGGGTGGGCCTAGGTGCAGGTGGGGGAGGTGGTGTTTTTTGAATGGGTAGGGTTTTGTTTGGTTTTGGGATGGTTTGGGCCAGAGTTTGTGGTTTTGGTTGGTTTTGAGCCAGTAAATGGGGGCAACCACGGAAATTTGCGGTATGTGATCCGCCGCAGTTGCAACATTTTGGGGTTTTTTGGCAGTCGCTTGCCAAGTGGTTTCCTGCACATTTCACACATCTTGGTGGGTGACCGCAGTTGCGTGAGCCGTGGCCGAAGCGTTGGCACGAAAAACATTGGGCAGGGCCAGTGGATTTGAGGGGTTCGACGGATATTTGTATGTAGAAAAGATTGTTTAGCAGAAAAATGTCTTTGGAATTTGTATTTGATGCGATGTGTACAACACACATTGGCATCGGTTTTTCCGGGGTGCCGAAACGGCGGATGAATTTTACGGAGAAACCAAGGGTTTCCAGCTCCCCTTGGACTTCTTCGACCGGGATATCGTTTGGGATGCCCTTCAGAACAACTTTGAGGGAACGTTCTTCAGGGAGCGAAAATGTGTGGAATTCAGTTCCTTTGGACATTAGCGTGCTTTGGATCAGACGGAATTGGGACGAATCAGAAGTTTGGATGGTGACTTGGTTGTTGGAGGACAATTTGGCGGTTAGAGATTTAGGGGCAAGGTTTGGGAGGGCGTAGATCACGGGAGCGATCTTCCGCCAGGAGCCGGAGCTTAGCATGATTGGTGGTGGTCTGGCGGATGTAGGTTTAGTCGGAGTTTGTGGTGTGTTTGGTTCGGAAGTAGGTTGTTTAGTTGTGGAGGTGGTATGTTTTAGTGCGAAGGTTGTTTGGTTTTGTACGGAGCTAATTGTTTGGTTTGAGACAGAAGTTGGGTTTGAATTAGGTACGGAGGTTATGGTTGGTTTAGGTACGGAGTTTGAAGTTTGTTTTATTGTGGAGGGAGATGGGGACGCGCTAGACATCGTTGACGCGCTACAGTCTGAGTAGGACTCGAGGGTTTCTGAGTCTGACGAGTGTGGCGAGGGTGTGGGAGGGGCCGAACGCTGGCGTGCAATTTTCCGGATTTGGGTGTTTTGAGGGGGTCCACTTCCCTTACGCTTAAGCGGCCTATTTCGGCCCATGGCGGAAGAGAAGCTTGTGCTTTTACTGTCGCTCTGAAAAGAGCGTTTTTTTGTGGAGGTATGTGGGGGGGAGGGGTAGTTGGTTGGGATGGGGTGGGATGCTGTGGCAATGTGCGGGCGCGGCCCCACAACAGCGAGTTCGGAAGGACGGTTTGATCCGACGCTTTCGCGGCGGCTTACTTGTGGGCGCTGGTTGAGAGCGGTGAAAACGGCTGTTAATGTTGAGTGTTGACTTAAACGTCGCTTCCGCGATTTATCTAGAGCTGCCTTGAAGTATGCAATATATTTATTAACTCCATTCCAAGATAATTAGACAGGGTTCTGTGTTAGGTTGACTCAACGACCATGCTGAAGGAAGTCAACTCTGCCATTCTGAAATAACCCATAGTTATCTTGGCTGCTTCATGGAGGGGATGGTCCTCTGTAGTTGCCAATTCTCTTATTAGAGTAAACACTAACCGCTTAAATTGGTTAACGATCGGTCGAATGCACCCGTATTTATACGCGTCGACCGACCCCAGCGTAATTTTAATCGGTTGTTTTTGTTGAGATTGACCGAGTGAAAATGACATCAATTGCTAGATCAATTGGTATGAACAGTGTCATTTTCACTCGGTAAATTTCCGTAGAATAGTAGTTAAAAATGACTTTGTTTTAATTGTTCTAAATAGGCGAGTTAGTAATTTATGCTTGCCTATTGTATCGATTCGTTGACCGTTAGAACGGCCTTTTTAGTTCTACTATGATACTCGTGCTTTGTGCCGTTTCATGTTGAAGGTGGAAACATATCTGGTGAAGGTGAAAACATATCCGGTGAAGCGTCCAAATGTATGGATGACAACGACTGAAGCCATACGTCTATCTGTGATAGACGTAGAGGTGAAGGAGAAAATAACATATTGTTTATCAATTCAACGCGTATACCCCCGGTGTTGTCGGCGAAAAAGGCGTTGCAGGTCGTCTAACTTGTGATAAAGCCCTCTGCGACTGTTGGTAGGTAAAGCAAGCATTTACTTCACGAACAGCCAAATTGAAAGTTTTCTGAAAAACATTTCTCTAATTATTGTTTAACTTAGCAATTGTACGTTAATTTATTTGGTTACCATTTCCCAATTACTTCATTCAAGTGATCAGTTCGATGAAAGGCCCAATTGTGTTCAGCAAAAAATGCAGCAAACCTTATCTTAAACTGTCTTTTTTTGTTCGGAATCAAACGTTTCCATTTAAGCTCATCGACGACTCATTGGATTCGTTATAATGGTAGTTTTGCAAATTTTTCTCCGTATCAGCTTGTGTCTGAGTGAACAGTTATAGACTCATTCAATACATACGCTCGATCCAGCATCAAAAAACAAACACTTTTTATGATCTTTAATTTATATAATAATATGAAAATTAGTGGTAAATTTTCTTTTTTAAAAACACTTTTTATGATCTATCGCCTACTTGGACGCCTTCTTTGCTATCGTCTCTGCATGTTTGACGAAGGAAAGGCGCGAGTCGAGTATGACCCCTAGATATCTTATGTGTTGGCTCGATTGGATGTGAGTTCCACCTATGCCGAGCAGAGGATTTTTGTAGGCCCACTTCTTCGTCAGCCTGTCGGCCTCTGTCTTCTGGTGAGCTAGTTTTAGAACTCTTCTTGTCATCCAGTCATCGATCCTCTCGAGGACAGGATTCATCAGATTTTCCAGAATCGTCAAATTTTCCGCGAGATCGTCGGCGAAGCCAACCAGCTGGATGCCCGGAGGAACTTCCATTTCCAGTATATAATCGTATGCAACATCCCCACAGGGTCGGTCCAAGAAGTGAGCCCTGGTTAACCTCACACGTCACAGTCTTCGATGTCCTTTCCTCTATAACGAGCAACTCCCTGTCTGACCCTCATGATCAAATCATGAGCACTATGTACTCCCGAGTGTCCTTATTTCTTAGTGCTTCATCTGTCACAGGCCACCTCAACTTACCCAGAGTGTCTACTAGGAAAATGGGTCAGAAGCTAGGGGGTTTATGTAGGTACCTGGTTATGTATGTACAACCATATGGGATACTTTTACCCACAAACCTTTGTGAATGAATAATTATGTTTATTTTACTTACCTACATTTCATAAATAAAACTAAAGTAATTGTGTTTAGTAATGAATGTGCAATAATTTTATATAATCATCATGTATTTCTCGTCAAAATGAAGTTATTCGCTTTTCACGATGTTAAACTTCTCTTTTGTTTTAAGGTAAAACCAAGACAAATTCCTTTTTATCCTTGAAGGGAAGTCCAAATATGGTGCAATATTATGTATACGTCATGATTTATTGTGTTATAAGTTATGAGTAAAAAAAGATCAGTCTTAGGTATATACATAGTACAATAATTTATAAATCAAAAAACGTAAACCTTATACTGAAATGTATACAAAAATTAAAAAACCGGAGGTAATTTAATATATTTAGAGAGCAGATAATAATCATAAACGTCAGTCAATTTTCGACTGTAAAATTACAACAATAATAGCTCGAAAAAGCCTAATACTAGTAGGTGCATAATAACATACATAATAATATAGTCAATAGTCATGAATAGCTATAGTACCCGTCACTGCATCTCCCTCTTCGCCGTCATCTCAGCCATCCTCTCCGCCGTCATCTAATAAATATTCAAAATAAGTGTGGAGATGACTATCCGCAACATCTTCTCTGGTGTTCCTCTCTCCGCCGTCATCTAATAAATATTCAAAATAAGTGTGGAGATGACTTTCCGCAACATCTTCTCTGGTGTTTCGCGTCATAATAATATATGGATATAGCATCCACAACGGGATACCGAAACCTACGATTGCCGCCGTGATGACCGCCACCACTTTCACCGACAAAAGAGTCACAATTTCCCTTATCACTGCCAGAATCACGGCGATCACTGTCACAATGAACAAGAACGTAGTGTGCCTCATATGCACATGCACCGGTGCCATAAACATAAGTATTGGTACGAACAGTCTAAATCTGATGCCGTCGTTTCCAGAAAAAAGTAATGCCTCCATCTTTAAAACTAAAAACAAACATCCATAACAATAATTCATTTGTAGTCAAAATTACAGCAGCATAAAAATGGCAGTGTGCGTCGTCGTCGAGCCACTAATATATGGCGCTCCGCTGCAGTTCGAACACTCAATAATTCGGGTTCATGGCTAGGACAGAGTTTTTGAAATATTTTGATTCGTCATTAACTCATGTGTGTTACCAACATAGTATTCCACTGGCGTAGGGATACTGTGGGCTGTGAATGCGATACCTATGACCCACATAGTCGAAACAAAGCGAACCGTGAACTTATCATCATTCCCACGATCGAGTTGCATGTTCTTAATGTACATTTTAATCTGTTCAATATTTTGTGGTGGTGATTTCTCTCGAGAGCATCTCTCTTCAAGGTACGCGCAAAACTCATCAATTTGTTTTAAAATTTATGGGTTTATAAATATATCATGGTGAAGGAGAAAATAACATATCGTCTATCAGATTCAACGCGAATACCCCCGGTGTTGTCGGTGGAGAAGGCGTTGCAGGTCGTCTAACTTGTGATAAAGCCCTTTGCGACTGTCGGTAGGTAAAGCAACTACTATCTTGAGTCTAAATAAAAATTATTGTTTTATTTTATATTAAGTCTAAGTCATAATTCTTATTTAACACTTACCATATCTGAATATCTGAAGGGCGATGCAGGAGAGCTGCACGGTCTTGATGCCATCGGTTGTGCATCCTGACTAAAAATAAACATGAGTAATGGGTCTTGGTCTTGGAGTAATGGGTCTTGGTGACGTTCTATTGTCATGCTAAAACCAGATTATGCAAATTGTATAAATAATTTAAAATAAAATTTATTTTTTCAACTTTCAACCCATTCTTAATCGTTGGTGCAGGCTCTTATAATGTACTATATAATTCTTCTTCTTTTCGATCGTTGCCATATTCGAAGGAATCACTACATATCTCCGAGGAACGACACTAGGTATCACACTCTGCCGTGCTGGTTGAGTGTTGATCGATATATCTGGTATAGGACTCAAGTGAGCCGGAACGTTAACGACACCTTGTAAATAAAAATATTAAAATATTAAAAAAAAAACCAAAGTTCCATCTTCAATATTTATAAAAAATAAACCGTACCTGTATCATTTCCAATCACTTCCGCGAACATATCATCATTCCCATCATTAAAAAAATCGTTTAGATTTTTATTCTGTGCCTGATTTGATGGACCTGTTGGTACTAAAACATTATAAGTTAATAAAAACAAAGTTTAATTTTTATAAAAAATAAACCTTACCTGTATCATTTCCAATCACTCCCGCGACCTTATCATCATTCCCACGATAGAGTTGCATGTTCTTAATGTACATTTTCGTCTGTTCAATATTTTGTGGTGGTGATTTATCTCGAGAACATCTCTCTTCAAGGTACGCGCAAAACTCATCAATTTGTTATAAAATTAATGGGTTGGTAAATATATCCTTTCGAACGATGGCTTCAAAAATAGAAGATTCTAAATATTGCAGTTGAATAAGATCTGAACGATTTAAAAGAACTCTGCATCCTTCTCTATTTTTTGATTCTACCACTAATACATTTTTGCCACCATACACCATACTAGATGGTTTAAATATATCGGTTTCGAAAAATGTGACTCGCTTGTACCTTTATGGTTGGTCCAATATGAAAGATATGATATGACCCATGAAATCAAATATCTGCTTTAACAAGTCCGGTGTAATTTGAATATAACGCGATGGAGTCATTATAAGTATAACGACTTTGAAACTATATGTCGGGTCAATACCAATTTGAATAAACTTACGGCTTTCAAAGTTTAGTGTGAAATTGCTTAATTAATTTTTGCGTAATTTACCTTCACGGCTTTCGTACGCTTCCATATGGCGATTCAATACTTCGTCAGCTCCTTTCTCATACCATTCTTCTTCAAGTGCTAACATGTGAAGTGCCAGGATGCATTGGCGTAAATAGTGTTTGAAATTTGGGGGGGCTGAAGCTCAGGTCTATACTTGAAACTCTTATGATGCTTTTAAATTATAGTAGGGAAATCATTAGTTTTTATGGGGGCTATAGAAACTTCAAGGGGGGCTAAAGCCCCCTAGCCCCCTCCTATTTGCGCCTATGCCAGAGATAGGTGATTAATATCGAAGCCATTCGTCTATCTGTGATTGTCGTGGCGATGTAGGGGGAGGAAATACCACACCACCTACAACATTCAGTGCGCATGCCCCCATTGTTTGTTACGGAGCCACCGTTGGCGAATCTCCGCCACGTAATAAATTAAATTCCGTTTGTTATTATGGTAATCTTGTATGTTTATTATTTTATTATCTATATTACATACTCATACATTAACTGGGACAGCGATTCACGTCCTTTATCCCACGTTGAATGGACGATGGGATCGTGATCACTTTAACATTGTGAGGAAATGGTTTCCCTAAGTGATATTTACAATAAATCGGGTAGGTACGGATGGTCACGTCCGGCCCGCTCAGACAAGTGGCGTCGGCTCATGGATCCGTACGGGGAAGCGTGGCCTAAGCAGGCGCGCTCGGGGGGATTGATCTATTAGGGTAGTCCTGACAAGGATTATTTTGGTCTCCCGCGTCTTTCGTGGAGCTGGGATTGTTTGGCCTATCCAGGCGCTTTGTCCGCTCTCGCTGATCTCGTCGTCTCCTTGGCCGCAGGCCGTGTGAGTTATTTCGAGTCCGTGTTTATCTCTATGTGCCGGTGTTGACACTTTGACAGTGGTTGTTCGGAGGGTTGGTAATCTTTGGTGGTTGGCTGGTAATCCTGGTTTCGGCTTGTGCTATTCGTCGGCTGACAGACAATCTTCGTTGGTGGTTAGTCAGGTTTTCTTTTATTCCAATATCAACAATTAGTTTGTGTGCTAATGTTGACGTTTTGGAAGTTTGGAGAAAGACTGCTTAACGATCGCTTTTGCTTTGCTTCGAAATGGGAGCCAAGGAAAAACCCCAGCTGTGTTTGTAAGTGTCAGGCGATGCCTATAACTTATGTTTGAATTTTTAAATGGCTGGTTGTCAGGATGTTTAGTATATTATTGTAATTTCGCAAAGTTGATTGGTCTTGGTCGGCGTGTGAGTATTTGAGGAGCTGGTGATGTTCCAATGTCGCGGATGTGGGCGAATGTTGATTGGGAATTTCTGTGATAAAATACCCTAGCCGCTAGTTCTGCTTCGTTTCGCAAAGAGTTTATGGGTGGATTTAAGATGGCGTTATTTCTGGTGAAAAAGTGGGCACCTGTGATTATACGGACCGCCACGTTTTGGACTGCTTCTATCTTTGCCCAGTTTGATACACTGATGAGAGGACCCCATGCCGAAGAGGCATATAGTAAAATTGGTTTGATATATAATTTATAAATTGAGAGTCTGGTTGGCATTGGAATGGGTGATCTGCTGTTAAGTATCGGGTATAGTGCCCTTCTGGCTTGCTTAGCCTTCCTGATGCAGACCTTGACGTGGTCATTTAGGCTTAGGGCTTTGTCTAGTGTGACGCCGAGATAGGTGGTCTTGTTTTTCCAGTCGATTGTTTGTCCTTGTATTTGGATTTTTCGAGTGGTTTCTTTTCGGCTGGTTCCAAAAAGTATGCATACCGTTTTTTGAGGGTTCAGTTTTAAACGCCATTTATTAATCCAGTCGGTTGTCGTGGTGACTTGGCGTTGAAGTCGGATTATGGCGAAGTTTTTCGACATGTTACTAGAGTAAAACATGGTGTTGTTTGCCAAACAATGAAGTTGTGACATGAGGTGAGGATGGGAGATCGTTGATGTATAGAGTGTATAATAGGGGAGAAAGGCATGACCCCTGTGGAACTCCTGCTTCGATTGTTCTGAAGGTTGATTTGAGGTCGGAGATTTGAATTTGGAAGTTCCGGTTTGATAGGAATGATTTAATGATTTTTATCAGGGATGTGGGGACGGTTGACATAGTGTGGAGTTTGTGGATTAATCCGTCGTGCCACACTCTGTCGAACGCTTTCTCCATGTCCAAGAAAATGGCAGCCGTGTGTCTATTATTATTTGTATTTATTACCAAGTCGTCAATCAATTTAGTGAGTTGCGTAGTCGTCGAGTGTCCGTGTCGGAAAGCATGTTGTTCTGATCTTGGCTTAAAATATTTGTTTAGATGGCTTAGTAGAATTTTTTCCAAAACTTTTGACATCGTGACGAGGAGTGATATTGGCCTGTAGTTGATTGGTAGACTGTGGTTTTTGTTAGGCTTCGGAATCATGACGATGGTGGCAGTTTTCCAGGAGGTCGGAAAAAAAGAGTGTCTGAGACAAGCTGTGATTAAGTTGCTTAGTCTTACGATGGCAGGGGCAGGCAGGCAGGCAGGGGTTGACTTAAACGTCGCTTCCGCGATTTATCTAGAGCTGCCTTGAAGTATGCAATATATTTATTAACTCCATTCCGGGATATCGTTTGGGATGCCCTTCAGAACGACTTTGAGGGAACGTTCTTCAGGGAGCGAAAATGTGTGGAATTCAGTTCCTTTGGACATTAGCGTGCTTTGGATCAGACGGAATTGGGACGAATCAGAAGTTTGGATGGTGACTTGGTTGTTGGAGGACAATTTGGCGGTTAGAGATTTAGGGGCAAGGTTTGGGAGGGCGTAGATCACGGGATCGATCTTCCGCCAGGAGCCGGAGCTTAGCATGATTGGTGGTGGTCTGGCGGATGTAGGTTTAGTCGGAGTTTGTGGTGTGTTTGGTTCGGAAGTAGGTTGTTTAGTTGTGGAGGTGGTATGTTTTAGTGCGAAGGTTGTTTGGTTTTGTACGGAGCTAATTGTTTGGTTTGAGACAGAAGTTGGGTTTGAATTAGGTACGGAGGTTATGGTTGGTTTAGGTACGGAGTTTGAAGTTTGTTTTATTGTGGAGGGAGATGGGGACGCGCTAGACATCGTTGACGCGCTACAGTCTGAGTAGGACTCGAGGGTTTCTGAGTCTGACGAGTGTGGCGAGGGTG